CCTGAAGATTTCTGTAATTACATTACCACTACTGTGAACAAAAATGTGTGGGCCAATACTGTATGTCAGTGGGTCTTTATGCTTTGAGGGAAGTGTAATCTAAGTTTACATGTTCTTTTGGGCAAAAATATGAGCCTGCGTTTGTGTGTATGAGTTTGACTCAAGTGCTCCTGCCCTGTGGGTCTTTAAAAAAAAGCATTTTGTTAATGGATAGTTTATTATACATCCATGACTGCTTTGACAAAAAATCTCTTTTTCAGGCATCCTAAATTATTGCAAGAATATCTTTCTAATTTGCCCAGGTGCTGTACAAAGAATAAAACTTACTACCAGCCTGACACATTTATTAGATTACTATTTCAGATTTTACTAGGGATAGTATTACTAGGGAGTGTGTGGCACCCTCAGGAGGTGTATCTTCCGTAACTGAGACAAATTATAAATCAAGTCTAAGTCTCTTTTTTTCTTTGCTGTTGCAAATCAATAGCAAGGTGCAAATGAGATCTTATTCAATCATTTTCCTCTCCTCCTTCCAATATTTTCTTTAGCAATGAGATGGGTGGGATTTTTGGCATGCACAGGCATACAAGAGGGATCAGACCCAGAGGGAGAGAGATTGCAGTTTAACACCAAGTGATTTGTTTTCCTTTCTGTGAGTTATCCAGGAGCAGTTGGTTGATTACACACAGATAAGCAGCATACACACACACACACACACACACACACACACACAAAGCACTCTCAATGAAATAATTTTGTTATACAGCTGTGAAACCTGTTCTTCACATACAACTTGTGTATAAGATTGAAGTATTATACCAGCTATCAGAAAACGTAGGGTTATGGTTGAGCCGGTTCTTGTAGGTTGTACATTGTATTGTTCATTGTAGGTATAGCTGCTTTTCTGTCAGCTACTGTATAGCCACAGACTGTCAGCACAACACAGATTCACTTGTGTAAACCAAACTCTTGTCTGTTTGTCTGTCGTTTTTCAGTGGCCTTAAGATAATGGGCTATTTCTGAGAAGACCTGAGAGGGAATTGATTCATTTACAGGAGGTGTACACATGGAGTCATTTGTCTTTTGAAAACTGTATTTTTGAGCCAGTGGCTGATGGGGTGCCAAATGCCTGTGAGTTTGTAAGATTTTAGTTTCCTGCATCACTCCCCATGTCACTGCCCATGCAGGATGGTCTTTTACTGTGTGCATCAAAGGTCTCCATCTACCTCATAAAAAACACTCACCTCTGCACAAAGAGCAGAAAGCACTTATACACACAGCTGGAGAGCACTTTATTCAGTCTTTTGACCTCAGAATGTTGTGTGTCTGTCATGTCAAGTCCATCAATCTTTTGTGGAACTTGATGGTAAAACTGCAGCTAGAAATACCACCGTTACTGTAAGTACATTAATCTTAGTAAATCTTAACTGTACTAGTTAAGAACTGTACTGTTACTAGCATCTAACTCATGCAGCAACTACCTGGTAATTACTGGTGAGCTTTGTCTGAAATATATTTTTTGTCTCCAACACAGTATGTTTTTTCAGTACAAACTGGCTGCCTGGGTTACAATTACAACAACAATTTTACAATCCAAGAATGTAGACATTCCTATTCTGTAAAGACGATGTAGGGAAGTCACTGGGGTGGATGACTGGGCATGCTGTGCCTTCAGTATTAGTAGGTTAAGACTGCTAACCTAAACATGGTTTAGGTTCAGTATTAACATTGTACATTTACAGTAAACAATTTGCAGAATTAAACATATATAATATACAAAATATAATACAACCTTTAATCAATTATACATGTTTTTTTGGAGACATGATTGGCCTCGCCAAGAAAATTAATAGGATGTATCCCATTTTGATGTTGTTGATGAACTGCATCTCAATACAACCACTGGGATTAGAGGGAGGTGGATATTATATGGTGATAATTTTAATCTGAAGATGAAAATAAAAGAAGAGTAAAGAAAGTAAATTCCCTGAGTTGTGTAACTACCAGAACTTAAATGATCAGGGAAAATGGGAATACGGTGTGGTAAAATGAATATTAGTATATTAGCCGCTTTTTAGTCTATTAGCATGTGTGAATAGTTTCTGTGAGGAAATGCACAGACTATTCACTCTTGTGCCTTTGGTCTGAATCCAGCGTTAGATAAAGACTTCTGAGTCCACCTGGGCCACCCACGGCCACAGTGCCGCCCTACGTGGAATACTTTTAAACTAATAAGACACATTCCTCTTACTGTGACACACAGCTGATGAATGAGGCAATTAGCACACATGCAGATTAACCACAATAAACTTCACAGTACTCAAGTAAGACAGATAATGGCCTGTGAGATGTTACACAGGCAGATAAATTAAAGGTGATATATTTTCTGGGGAAACATTTTGTCTGGATACAATTTATAACTCAAATCAAAAGAGAGAGTAATGACAATGGCATGAAATCACTTGCTTATAATGTACACCCACCAACCTGCACCATCTGTAGGGACAGACAGGCCTTTGGTCAGAGGATCCCAGATCTCTGACAGCATGGTGTGACGACTGGAGTTCATTTATATAAGCAGAGGCAAGACTATTCAGTGCTTTGTAGACAAGAAACAAGCTTTTCAACTCAGTTCTATAGCTAAGAGCCAGTGGAGGGAGGAAAGAGTTTGAGTAATGTGGTCTCTCTGTCTTGAGAATGTTAAAAGCCTTGGCACAGCACTGTGAACAAGCTAGAGGAAGGATTAAAAGGTTTGATTGACACCAGAGTATAAAGAGTTGCAGTACTAAAGGTGGATAGATATGAAAGTGTTGATGACTTTTTCCAAGTCAGACACACAGATTAATGGTCCTGACTGCAAACAATGCTGAGTTCATTGAAGCTGGATTTAACTGATTTTCTTTACTTTTAATTTCTTTACATTTCCTTATGGGTCATAGGGAGATAAAGAAAAGTAAATCCACTTACATTTGCCAATCAAGGGAATCCATGCCACTGACCAACAGCAATGGCACTCAACAGTTCTGACCTTTGTAGGAATGGACAGCCAGAGAATCCAAAGGAGGAAGCTATCATAGCTGCTTTGCTCCACAAAACACACATGTTTTGCTGACAGTCATGACACAGGAGTTGTTGGTACAAAGTCTTCTAAATTAACTGTGTGAACTCATTGTCCTGCTGTCAAGCAAGCTAATTAGCTTACTACCTTGACAGTTAGCAGATTGAAACCTTGGAGAGTTAGTGAGCTTTTTACCCTTTACAGTAAGTATTTAATGAATGACACAGTGTTGCCTACTATCCTGAGAATAAAGTGCTAGGGGGTAGTACATGACGCACTGTAGATAGATTAAATAGTAGAGCGGTTTTAATTGATTAACCCACTGGCTCCGTTTTTGAAGCGATTGTATAGTTAATTGGCTAAATCTAGGTAAATTTGGGTGTCATCAACAAAACAGTGAAAATAAATATTGTAGTTTCAGATAACGTAAATATAGCTTCACCACTGACATTTTTCATCTTTTCTTTCTTTTCTTTTTCTTTTTTTTAAATTTTTTCCACTTACAACTTCTCATGTCCTAATATACGGATTCCATTTCATGGGCATTACAATTCAATTTCACCTGTCACCTTGTGCAGACTAAAGGACTGCGGAGATTTAGTCTTATTCGACAGGCTGCCAGCACTTCAAATACCCAAACACAGGCACACACACTGACACAACTAAGACATAAAGACAAATACATTTCCTGTTATACTCCAGTCCACACAATAGGATGGTGTTAAGTCAAGTGAGAAAATAAGGGAGAAAGAGCTGGCCACAAAATGTGGGGAAGAAAAAAAACTAAAAGACTTCAAAGAAATTAACCATTCCCCCTCTACGCTCTGTTTGAGTGAAGTGCAATAAACGAGATGAGGGGGGCTTGTGATGGCCTTTCTGATCTCTAATCTTGCTATCTATTTTTTCTTTTGAAATTAAGAGATGTTACAAATGTGAATAGGCATATGACCTCAATCTGCATTAGATGATAATATAATAATACCTAGCAACAAAGGGATGTCAACTTTCAAACTGTTGTTTTGCCCTTAAGTAAAGCACTTCCGTCGTCACCTTCCCCAGTGTAATACAAAAATAACAGTTAAAAAGTAACACATAATATAACAGCAGGAAAAACTAAAGAACTTGCAGGAAATGCATAAAAACCAAAAAGGTGTCAATAAAGAAATTAGATCAGTTGCTTCATATAATCCCACAATCAGGAAAATGTTCCAAAACTAGAAGCTGCTGCTCCTAACAAGTCAAAAGATGATGGTTGATTTGTTACTACAACTTAGTTTAAAAAGTTCCATAATGAAGACAAGAAGAGGAGCAATTAGAGTTTCAATGAGTCAACTGAGTAATAAGCAATAAGTAAAAGCAATACATAACTCATCACTTCACCTATTCACTTATGAATTGATTGTATAACATGTTTGCCAGCTTAAAGGGATGGTAAACCTTCCTCGAAACACTCATTGCCTGAATTAATCATAGTGGGGGAAAAAGTAATGATACTGGACCTTTGCCCTGCTATCTAAAACTGCTGACACATTACAATCAAACTAATTATAAATCTGTCTAAAGGGTATAGTCAGCAATATACTGATATAACTTACATTACAATAAGGTACTTCAGCTATCATAGAAAAAAGTTTACAGTATGTTAAAGCCAGTTAAAGCTAAATTCCTCAAAGGTATCTCAGTTTGGGCACATGGCTTTATTGAGTTGTATTAAAAATTGTCATTTAATAAAAAAAAAAAAATCTTGAATTATACATTCTGTAAATGTCACAAAATGTCAAGTAAATGAGCTACATTAAATTAACTTTTGGTTGTTGAGTAAGAGGACCACTAATTCAAAGTTGGAAAATAAACATGCTTTTATTCTTGCAGTGGACAAATGGAAGATGTGTTTCCATTCATTTCTGTGAAGCTCTTTTTGTTTTCTCTTTTTGCTCCACAGAGGGATCCCAGGGAAGAAATGTGGGACTATCGTCTTGTCTGCAGAGGAGCTGAGCAACTGTCGAGTGAGTAAGCCAAAAATAATCTCCCCTTCCAACCACACATTAGCAGGCAAACATCTGTCAGCAAAATCTGGTTAAAAAGACTTCACACATAAAGTGGATTGAGCAGTATGGAAGCTTAGAGGGGCAAATGAAGTGTCGGCATACTGCCACAGACAAAGGAAACTTCATGTTGACTTTATTATGCCACTTTGAGAAAGAATCCCACATCAGTCAAAGAGCTGAAAAAGTCTGTGTTCAATCCGTCAGTACTTTGTTCATCTGGATTGGTGTTGAACCTTAATACTCTGACTACCGACCGAAATCTGTCCATAGTATGAAGTACGGAAAGCTGCAGTGATATGTCAGATATTTATACTTTATACTCTATTTAATACTTTGTGCTTTTATGACTTATTTATGTTAAGATAACATTAAGCACTGATTACTATGAAAAAAATGGTTTATTTTGTTTTGGACTAAGGTTTTCTTTTTTTTGGCATTCTGCACATAATCACATACAGTACATAATTTTTTCAGAATTATGGTAATACAGTCAATTTTACAACAAATCATGTATTGCATGCAAAACTAGAGGTAACAAAACTAGCTTGTTACCCCTCCTGGGAGTTGAAAGGTCATTGTGACAAAGTCTCTGAGGAATATCCCTGAGGTATAGCAGTTGCTGTGCCAAGTATAAAAAGCTGAACACTGGCTGACTCACTCTTTTCTACAGAGAAAATAATGATAGTTCTCAGGGTACAATACAATATTTTTGGACGTGAGTGAATTGAATTAAACAGTGACTAATTACTCTATCATCACCTAAGTCAGGGGTAGGCAACCCGCTGCTTTTAAGCCCATCTCCAACAGCTCCATGTTGCTTTGACAGAAATTATATGGAAATGAATAATGTTTATTTTACATTACATTTTCCTTTTTATTTATCATTTTTGTAGGCCTAAAGTGATTCTTACATTCTCCAATTGTAAAACTGTGTAGCCATTACAAACTAAATGAATGTTTTAACATTTAGTCAACTGAAATGTGCACCATACGTTACATCCTGGCCTGGTGCACTTACCTCTATATTTTGCTGAACCTCAGCAGCAGTGGCTACCAGCCTATGTATTCCAAATCCAAAAAAGAAATATATGGTACCATTCCCTGACTTCTCCTGTCCTCTCTTGGACCTCCATGGACTCTGTATCTAAAAGTCCAGTTGCAGAGGCAGTAGGTCCTCCTCCTCGTGTGGTCATTCTGTGGTGAAAGTGCCCTAAGAGTTGTCGCTATCCACGCTAGATAAAAATGGCTGTTGTGATAGTGATCATTAATCTGTCTCCGTCCCTTGTTGTCACATACCATGTCGATACTGAACAACTGCATATTCTCATTTATCTACATAGTTATCTACTGCTTCTGTCTATGTATCTGTCCACCTATATACATTCCACTTACTTAACTACATAACCATGCACCTAACCATCTACCTACAGTACCAATCACACACACACACACACACTCGTCTGAGAAAATAACAGACAGGGCAGCTGTTCTCACTCTGCAGTGTCCCCCGGTCTAATGAAATGGCCCAGGAACATGATGGGGTGACTATCCCCTCAACCAACACTCTGCTGTAAAGCTTTGGATGCTTCACTGGGCTCCCAGCAGGCAGATTAGAGGAGGATATTGAAAAGCAAGAGAGTGCAACAGAGCAAATAGCACAGAGAGAGAGAGAGAGGGCGTAAAGGAGAAAGAAATAATGGCACAATGAAAATGAAAGACAAAACGAGCAGTGATAAGATGGAGAGAAACAGTGTGTGTGTGTGTGTGTGTAGAAGAGAGAGGGAGAGAGAGACAGAAAAGGACTCAGACAGATAGAAACAGATATAAAGACAGTGAAGTGAATCAATAGAGGATTATTTCACACCCGGTGTATACCAGCTCTTAGCAAGAAGAACAGCTTGGCTGATGATAATGTGAGACAGAGCGTTAGTTAATTAAAACGCAGCCCTGCTTGACCTTGTCCCTTGTAGCCACACACACACACACACAGACACGCATACATGCATACATGCATACACAGTCATACAGATATATAAACACATACACACATTTGCTGCAAAATGCTTTGTTGCATTTGATGTCAACTGCACAGCCTGGAACATGAAATAAGATGGATGGCATAGCGGGCATGGACACACAGACTGCTATTGTCATTTAAAGCTGCTATAATCAAAATGTTTATATTAACAATGGATTCACATGACTTTCCATACCCCCAGATTAATTATCACCCCACACTCTGCGGCCCCGTCAGGTTTTACAGACCTTTCAGCTCAGGGGGTGTTTTGTTTTCTAGGCTGGTTTACCCTTTTGGTTTTAATCCATAGAAGGGGTAAAAAGTAAATTTAGCTTCCGGCCAATTGTATGGCCGAAAAGCAAGGGGCAACTTCAACTGGTTTGCAAAAAGAAAGTCCTTTTGATATGTAAGGTTTTGAGAAAAATTGACCGTATCGCTATTTTAAGTCTCTTCCATATAGCATGAATGTTAATTTTATAAATTATGGTCCCATTTAGAGTAAAATAAAGCAGGATATGCTTCAGGGCATGGCTACCTTCTAATTGACAGGTCGCTACCACAGTGTGTCCTTGGATTCTTAGTCTGATCCTGTCAGGATAGAGGCATAGCAATGCGTATCCTTCTGAGCCTCACCCATTCAAATATGATCACTTCTGGCTCCAAAAAACCTAAATCGGACGCAGCGCTAATGAAACTTCGAGTGTTGGACTGCGGTTTCACAGTGTCCGTTTTGGCCTGCAATATACAGCCTGTTTTCAGAGAGTGATATAAAACCCACTGTATACTAACCTTTCCTAGCACCCAAACAACAAACAGACAAAGTTAGCAACTAGCTAGTGAACATAGTTTAACACTTTGTTGAAGCTATATGATCCTCAGATGGGGTAATATATATTCAAATCCAAGATTCTTTGCATGACACATTTGGTTTCTTGACTAGAATTTAAAATAAAGTTCTCTGGGTCTTGCAAAACGCTTGTCTCCACAACATGAGTTTGTAATGATGGGCCTACCATTGGGTCTGACTGGGTTGAGAAGGTTAACGTGCATTTAGCATTCATGAACTGACATTATTCATCAGTTTCCATTCGTGATGTCGGCTCAAGAGAAGCAAGTATGTGATGTGGTGTGTGAGTGTTTTTTTTTTTTTTTTGCTGATATACCCTGCAGTAGGGAAATTTAATACATTTGTACACACTTTAGATTAAACCTCACCAGCCGACCTTCTTTGTGATGCACACAGCGCACAGTGTATGCTGTGTGCAGTTTGTGTTTTTCTTTTTTGTTGAAAGAACTGTAGTGCTTAACAAGACTACAGAATAACCCTGGTTGGTGTTTTTTAAATTATTAAAGGTTGAGGAGAAAAGATGTTAATTTGTCAGCATCATCTCATCCGTGATTGTATACAAGAACCAACCTATTCAGGAGGATAATTATCAGTGATTGAACAGTGTGAATGTAAAACTGCTCTATTTAACCAGGAGCAATCCAAGCCTGTAACTTGAAGACAAACTGAATATGAATATTGGAGCAAATGTCCCATGTTGTATGACTCTATACCTGATACACTTACTGACTTAGTTTTATTTAATTTAATTATTTTCAGTGTAATGCCAAAGATAACAACAGATTTAACAACCAAATGGAGGGTAAGTGAAAATATTTCTGATAATTTCAAATAAACCCATTTCCACAACAATGTGGTTTTGGTAAATTTAAACCATATGGACAAAATACCAGTTGAGCTTGAGGAACAAAAAGGACAATTAGGAAAAGATTGTTCTCCTATGTGATCAAGTTTATGAGGCGTGCGTTAAGTAATGAATTTAGTTGTATTGAAACATTTCTCCAACTCCATGTGCTGGTTATTAAAAGTTTTTTGCAGCTATCTAAACACTATGACTATCAAAATATTGGGATACATAAATTTGATTAACTCCCACTTGCAAACACTATCGACACACCCGTAGCGACCAATTTGCGGGGGTGGCTACGGCTCTGTGCAAATACAACATTTTGAGGCGGGGGCTTCGTTGTTAAGCAGCCCTCAATGTAGAGGTCTGCAACAGTAAATCCTGCAGGATTTCTGACAAATGCAGCCCACTCCTTCCCCAGCTATTAACAATGTTTCATATTAAAATGAGAACAAAAGGAAAATGAGACTCTTAAGAGTTTTTTTAATCTGAAGGATAAACAGTACTTTTACTTTTATTAAGATACTTTTAAAAGATGTGAACTAAAAGTAAACCTTATTAAATACATTTTAAACAATGAAATAAAGAGTTTGCACACCGATAGTTAATGTTGTTACTCATAGAAGCAGAAACAAAATAGATGCTGGAACCCCAGGTGGATGCTAAATCTAATAATGTCATCTCACAATATCATGTGTGAAATTTTAAGACTGTTCCTGCCCACATTAGACTAATTAGACTGCATTATTGAATCTTATAGGACCAACGGGATCCATGTCTAGCCGTAGCTATCTACTGCAAAGCAATCTAAAGCTGGTGCATGCTAGTCTTTTTTATATTATTTTTTATATTTGCAACAGGATATGTGTGTTGTGCTGAGTGGGAGCAGAGCAGTGTGATTTTGCCTGTAGCGTTTCCCGGTGTTCTCTCTCGCTTCGAGATAAAACTCCATCACATGAACAAGCTGATACAACCCCAGGAGGATTTCCATTTGCACAAATTTAACTGTTGCGGTCTGTGTCTTTTGGCCACTAACAGCCAGTGGAGATGACAGTATACAGTATATAACAGTATAGCTGTTTGCTGTGATAGTGTGGTGAGTATGTGTGTGAGAGGAACTCTCGTCTTCTTTCTCCGCGGCACTTTTGATCCTTTGACTGCACATTTATGTCATCAGGACAACCACAAATTAGATGAAACATTCTCATTTTGCCTCCCTTCACACAACAGATCCACGTCTGTTCACC